ATATATATATATATATATATATATATTATGTGTGTGTGTGTGTATGTAGTCACATACTTCTAGTCACAGAATTGTTTTAAATTACGAAAATATTCATATGTTTTGGTAATTTTAAATTTAAAAAAATATAATTTTTGACAAATAAGAAATATTTACTTTTAATGCGATCTCCTGGTTCCTATACTTAAATTTTGAAAAGTTTTACACTCATTATGAAAAAATAAAAATATAGAAGTTTAATTTCCGTGTGAAAAAAACTAGGAGGGATAATTAATTTCAAAATTTGCTTTGATGTCATTTTCAATTTGTCTTGAGGGACCGGTCAAGTAAGTTAGAATAATTCGAGAAAAAAGTTTAAATTAAGTGCAGCAAAAAAAAAAAAAAAAAAAAAGTTTAATAGACTGTACAAGGAAGTCACGTAGTGACCACATCAGATTTTTTTAATGACGGGGAGTTACCCCACAGGCAGACAGTTTTAGAAGGATTTCTATTACTCTCGTGTTCATCATTGGATTCATTATTAGTAGGTGCAAAGCAGTTTATTGTCGGAGATGTTTTTCAGAAAAAGTTTTAGGAAATACAAGTTGTTTGAAGTTCGGGAGTTGGGAGACGAAAGTCTTAACGACACAGACATTTTAGGTGCGTTAGGAAATATGATTGTTCTATATTGTGCAGGTTTAAAAGATTGCGTTCTATTTTAAGTGGGTGTTAAAGATAATCTGCAGGCAAACATGCATAACTGGATTTGTATTTCTTGTCATAACTAGATGAGCGAATTGATTCTCCGTCAGATATAGAAGTGTGATAATGAATAACGGAAGCTACAAGAGAAAGATATCCACCACCTAGGAACTATATATCTGTGGAGGGGGGAGAGTTAGCGGGATAGCCCGTACTATATTATTATAAGAAACTTCTTGAGGAGAATTTTAAGGTTAGTAATAAAGTGTTGAAAATTAAGTGTTCATCTATGGCACCTTATGCCAAGGTTGGAATTTTCTGTTCCAGACATTGCTCTTAACAGGCTGCGAAAACTTAAAGTTTTATGGTTTAAAAAATGCATGAAAGATATTTTGATGTATTAAGTTTTAAAATCGGAAAATTTAATGTGAAATTAAAATTACTTTATAAATTATTTTCATAATTATAAAACAGTGAAATTATATTAAAGTTATTAATTTTTCATGTAATTCTTAATTTCATTTATGTACATAAGTAATTTCATAAATTTATACTAATAAAAATTATTCGGAATGATTCAAAAGTCATAAAACAGTTCTCTGTTTCGTAAATCGTTTTGGAAATTGGAACTTTGTAAACTTCCGGATTGGGATAGGAAGCGGTTTTTTTTTTCGGGGGGGAGGAGAGAGAATATAATTCTCGCTGTCCTCAAAACTTTTATTTATAGAAGAGGGCACGTGAGTTTAAGTTCCAAAGTTTATAATAATGCACTGGCAGAATGGACAGTTGATGGCTTGTATGCCTTGCTCTTGTGATAAAATATAGCACTAATGGCCCTCGATGTTGTTTTGCTGTTTATGTTATTACGGCAAAGCTTCGGGGCTATCTGCCTAAGGGGAGTGATACTTCGTGGAGGACTTTCTAAGGAAAAACTGACTCGTATACACGTTACACATAGAGAAAACCACGAAAACGCCCGGATGTTCCTCGATAGTTATGCATTTAAGTAAATTTTGAAAAAAAAAATTAACCTCCTGAATTTATCCCCAAACTTAAAACACCTTTACGATACAACTGAGAAACGAAATTTATCTTTAAAATTTAATTTAATTTCAACACAGATGCAATTAAACATCCTTGCATTAAATATTTGCAAATAAAATGAAGTTATATTAGACTAACGTGTAGAGTACAGATAATTTTTTAATTTGCCTTTCAGTCCATGTTAATATTAAACTAACTGAACTAATTTATTTATTTAAACAAATTATGTGGCTTAAATAATGTAAGAGAAAATTTCTGACCTATACTTTACGAGCTCTAAAATCGACATCGTATTCTGTTTAATAAATTACAGATTCATTAGAATTACAAAGAAAGCGTAAAAGAAGTAATATGAATTTCTGTATGCATCGTGAAAGCAGTTATTTTCATTATAATATAAATTTTGTTCAGTACATGTTTAAGCAAACTCTGAGCGTTTTCAGTCTCATAAACAGATTCAATCTGGTTAAAGGAAATTTTCAAATTTTTTATATATATATCTGTAAGAAAGAGTGAACTGTATAATTTAAACTAATTATTCTAATAGAAAAATTTCGAAATATAACTATTTAAATGATGAGTGATAACTATTATAATATGATGACATTTCATATGTGATCCCTTTGTTCGAGTAGTGATAATATGCTTAATTAGTAATTATACAGTAATATTAGTAATATAGTTCAAAATAATAGAGATAATATAGTATCGGTAATAGCGATAATATAGTATCGGTGTTTTCCATTGAAATAACTTTGAAACTTGCTTGAAACTGTACACGGCTTTAAGAGTAATATTTCTCTTTCATTAAATATACCCTGCAGCGTCGCCTTAAACTACACAAATAGCATTCTTGAATTAATATCCTACAAAGATGTGATCCTTTAAATTATTGTCAAATCCTTGTATTATACAAAACAAACAGGTTTCGTATTCATTAGGGAACTAGATATTACCACTGCCATGATATCTTCTGGTATTCAATCGCTTATCTTGAGTAAAACTTGTACGTTATCCGCTCTTAAGTCTAAAGTCAAATAAACGGAATATGATCAAAGGAACTGTTGATAAGATAAATAAGATATTGTAAATAAGATGTTGTAAGATAAATTCTAAAATTAATCATTTTTTCAGCTCTAGGTGCAATTTTTTCCCTTGCGTTTGGACACTGTTTCTCATTTCTGAAGTTTTGCATGTATTTTTCACCATCTTTATCACGTTTAGTTTATCTTACCTGTATGAATTTCCTTTTAAATCTCTGTTCTTGTGTTTTCTAATACTTCGTATATTCTTCTCAAAGATAAATTATAGGTCACTAGTGAATATATTGCGGGAAAATAAAGTATATACGAAATAAGCAAAGAATTGTTATGATTTATCTATTATCTGAACTGGCAATACAGCTCTCTCCGCATTTATTTTCAGCTCAATAGAATTAAGCTCCACAATTTTCTTCCATTTAGTATTTGTAACTTAAAAGTGCATTGAGATTAAATCAATTGTTTAAATATTGAAAGAAAAGAGCTGCTACGACCTTTATATATACGCATCAAATCATGTTCCGTTGTCAAACAAATTCAATTGTTATATCAAATAATTGAAGTAGTTCTGCTTTAATTTACATCCAAACTTGTTTTATTACGTTTTATATATATTAAAACGTCTAAAGTTTAAACTCACTTAAATAGTCTCACCTTTCTCTCTTTCTGTGCATGTATCGTACAGTAGAACTTTCTTTATTGAAATTACAGTTAATTCGAAGTACTTGATATGTCGGACTGATTTACCACAAACAAATTACATTTAAAATTAATGTTAACTTTTTCAATAATTTTAATTCTTTTAACAGAAAAAGCTAACTTTTCTTTCAAAATTACTATAGATATCAGTTGCAGTCTAATGTTACCTTCAAACTACGGCAGTCAGGCCTCAGACCTTTTTCGTGTAATTCTAAAACGCGATATCATTTGCACTCCTAATAATTTTCTTGCTCAGCCCAATCAGTTTCCTTTTTGTTATGAATATTTAAAAATGTAAATTAAAACATTTTACTTTTTTAAATAAAATCTATATATTTCTTTGGACTAACGTATATTTGAGCTGCTTGGCATTCTTTATTTGTTTTATTTTTTGATGCATATAATATATTTTCTTTAAGTCAAAAGAACATATCTTTAAAATTATTACATTAATATTTTCATGTTCACCACATTTCATTTTTATTTTGTATTAATGTTTTCATGTAATTTATGTTAACTCGAATTTCTTCTACTGAAAGAAAATTTACTGTTATTAGAAATTTCTATTAACTTCGATTATTAGTTTCAAGTGCATATATGCCATTTAATTCTCCACTAATGTAAGAAGATTTTCAGCCCTATAATTTTACGTAGCATTTTTAACAGCAAAAGTGCCATTAATAGATAGAATTTTTTGTTTCAACACTTCTTATGTATCGAAATAGTTTTCATACCTAATGACGGTAAGAATTGATCTTTTACTTTGTTAAATACATATCTAAGTACAGAACTGGAGAATTTTTAAATGAAAGATGCCAGAACTCCTATTAATTATAATTTTCAATCATTTGAAACTTCTTTCACTTTCTAACGGTTATGCTCAATGCAACTTTTTTATGTAAACTAAGTGGTTGAAAAAGTAAGTAAATATATTAATAATTTTTATGCTAAAAATGCATAAAAACTGTGCCAGAGATTTCGTGTTATTTTATAAACCCTTGGCTTCAGGTAGCTCCATAATCGAAAATCGCAGCATTTTAAACCTCAAGGATATGGAAAATCATTCATTATGAATATCATGTCGTTTTACTTCATCCTTTCCAAAATTTGAAATTAAGAGAAGAAATGTGAATGATGTTATATTCTCAATAAACGTACCAAAATCCAATACTTATCTTTCGCTCAGGTAAGAAATAATGCTATTTCGTAATAAATCAGCCCAAAGCTTATCTGACAGTCATAGTTTGAAAGGACAATCTCATTTCATTACTGTTTCATAGTGGATGCAATTGTAGCAAAATATTTAAATAGCATTTTTTTAAATCTCTAATTTGATGTATTATTGTATAAACTGAGTTATCATATGTTCTACATTAACTTAAATACAAATACTTTAAATGTTTACTGGCATTTGAATCACCTGTATATATATTATATATTTATATGTATATTAGCTCCAAATATCTCTAGAAAATTTGCACATAAAGGTTATGAAACTGTTTCATATAACATAGTAAAGGATACTGAGCATTTTACCTACTGTACTTTTCTCTAAATGGACCATATAAAAAATAAGTTTTATATGTGCAGAAACCCGCATCCTCTGATCTCTAATTGTTCTCATAAAATTCTCGCCCTTACTTTGAGAGACTTCGTCATAAGAAATAATTGTCTTGAACCTATATTTAAGGAAATAAATACATTAACCACCTTTTTATGAACACCCTGTATGCAGACAGAGACAAAGAAAAACACTACCTCTTTTCTCTAATTGCTTTATCTGTTTATAAAAGGTATACTTCAAGAGGACCCATAAAGATATTCACCATAATGTGCCATGTATGTTAGCAATATATGTTTGAGGGTTGTAAAAAATAACTTTGCGCTTCCGTTACATGTAACGATAGATATAAGAAGAAAGATTCTTCAGTGATGGACACAGGGAATGATAGACCAAGAAAAAGTAATAAAATACATAGCAAGGAGATACGATCAATATGTGGCTGGACATTATTTTTTAAAAACAGGTGTCTACATATAGTTTTTCGCTTAATGACAACTTTCAGTACAAATATTTACAAATATTGTGGAAACAAATACTGATGTTTCATGATCATTTGAAGTGCAACAGATATCTATCTATATCAGGAAGTCAATGTTGGGCTCTGATTATTGTGTTTCGGTTATAATTAGAAGACCCAAGTAACTTTAATGCCAATATAAATTGCCTTTACCCCTCGCGGAACCTAAATAGAAATTTTAATTTAAATTGAAGGCTGTGAAATTTAACTTCGTAACTTTTCTATTCCTTAATCTGTACCTCTACCGCCGTTAACAAAAACAGGATCATCTTAATGGAAATTTAAATTCCATTTGAAGACTACAAAATTCAATATCATACCTTATCAATTTCTTTCTTTCCCTTTCTACCCCCGTTCACATTTCGTATAAAATCGGTTAGAAGCAACTTAAATTAAGTACGAAACAAGTAACTTTAAATATACTCTTTCTCATAATTTTTTGTAGAATTACGTTAGAAAAGAGGGGAACAAACACTTCTGTCTACCTAGTACTATATAAAATTCTTGGACTCGAAAATCAAACATTCGTCTTGTAATATATGCCGTGTTTCTGTAAACCTAAAAACAACTTGGCTTGTATGTGATCGAGTGGAACAGCTAGGCTATCAGACTGCTGAACGCTATTACTTCGACTCTAGTTCGGATCTCAGCGACAGGTACTGGCTTCATAGAGTCTTTCATGGTTTTATCCGCATATGTCGAGCATATGAGTCAGTAAGCATCAGTTCCTTGGCAGATTTCGTTTGTGACTGTATATTACTCTTTGAAGTTATGAATGCAGCCTGGTCAGTAGAAAATCCCCGCTAGGATGGCATAATTCCGTTTAGTCTAGCTCCATGGCCGGATGTCATTTCAGCAACACAATAGTCCTCGGGTGCTTGTCTTAATTAAAATCCTGCAACTGCGTCATAACAGTATAATATGTCGTTAGACTTTTCTCCCACATTAATTTCGACTTGCAATTAAATCAGTTCTTCGCATGGACTTTCATCCGTTTCGAAAGCCGTAATATGCATATTACGGGCTTCATAATGTAATAATTATGCATAGCTTCATAATGTTATTTAGTTTCTCAATTATTAGTTCTCTTATTATGAACTGGATTATTATATTTTGTCATATCTCATTTTTCTCTGAGAAGATTTCCAAATTTCAAGTAAAGCGAAACGATAGTGTATAATTAAGGGCTCTGTGCGTTTAAAAAATGCTGAAGTGAACCTTTCCCCCTGAAGCATCATTTTGCGAATTCATATTGCATTGTCTAACGTATGTATCATGTAAATAACATCTAGAGGATACATGAGCTATATACATCATTCAACACATATGTACTGTGAATAACGTTTAGCAGATTATGTAGTGGATTATATAGTGCAAAACTTTATTTTCATTTAAGGGAACATACAAAAATATTCATTTCCTAGATACATTTCATCTTATTCTACCCCGTCATAAGAAAATGAATTATATAAATAAAACATTTTGCCAAGTGCTCAGAATTCCGAAGTTTTTCGCTTACGTTTCTTAGATGAAAATTGTTTAATCAGTAGCTAAATTTACACGTAAAATATCTAATGTATATTTTCACGGATGTATATTGTTGTATATTTTTGTATATCTAATGTATACTTTCACATGCATGCATATGACTTGTGTACATATAAAAGTACATAAAAGTAATTAAATAAACGTAAAAAATGTAAATTAATAAGATATGAAATTATTTTAACTCTAAAAGATTGAGAGCTTTTTTCTAATAATAAATGAAGAAAGAAGAAGATAAAGTGGGAAAATTCTTTAAGAAGCTAGTAGACTTGTAAGTTTTTTTTAAAAGAGAGATGAAAAATGAGCAATGCCCTCACCGGAACTTGAACCATGGACCTCTCGAACACACGCTGAGTATGCTGACCATTACACTGCGAAGACAGGCTAAGAAAGCGGGAGAAATACCTTATATATTCCCCCTTTTAAAGGGCGACTGAGGATTAGGGAAGCCAATCGCCAAATCCTAGTGGTGCAGAATCATCACCCACAACATATTTTTTTAGTTTAATTACCACTGTAGAAACATTAGTTTTTTTTTTTTTTAAATAGCAGGAGAGATGAAAAATGAGCAATGCCCTCGCCGGGACTCGAACCACAGACCTCTTGAATACTCACCGAATGTGCTGACCATTACATCATGAAGGTATGCTAAGAAGGCGGGAGAAATACCTTATAAATTGTGTTCTGCTATATTGTATTAATTTTCATATTGTTAAAATATAGTAGAAAGAGGGCAATTAAGGCAACTTCTATCAAAATAGATAAAATAGAAAGCAACTCAGTCTGAAATTTTAAAATAAAAAATAGAGCTTCGAACTGACGCTGATTTTATCGAAAAGTTCTGTACCATTTTAAACAATATCATGATACCTGTAAAACAATTGTTATAAAAACAGATAGTTTCTGAAGTATCCTACATTTAACAGAACTATATGTTACTGTAATTATTATTATTATACATACAAGATTAAATTTTTATACAATTATTTAAATACTTTAACGAATATAAAGCTTGGCAATTGTAAATCTATGCGTTTTGGTAATATTAAAAAGGATGTACTTATCGCATACCATCTGCCATTTTCGCTGTTGTTATTGCGATGTAAAAAAAAAAAAAATATTCCGCAGTCTTTTCATTACTTATGAGAACATAGCCACATAGCTTTGCCGCAATCGATAAAAGTTGAGAAACCTCCATAATTTATAGCATTCCGCCGATTCTTGGTTGCATCCCTGTGCTTTAACTAACTGAGAAATGACGCCACCGCTTCAATCGCTTATTTTTAATTAAGAAACTGCCAGGCAACCTAACATTCCCTTCTTCCCCTGAGAAAGGGAAGAAAGAACCAAAAATCGAAACCTTGCGTTACTGTTTATCTGACAACGATATACAGACAATTTTCGTACGGTGGATTAGGAAGCAAGATTTTGTTTCTTTTTTAAACTCTTTAGCATTTATTTCGCTCAAAATTTATTTTTCGTGTATTATCTAACGTATTTCACCTGAAAAGGCATTCTTCCTTTCGTGTCGCATATATACACAAGTATATAAGAAGACGGACACAGACAAATAAAGTCATTTTTATTCATACGCATATCAATACCTAATTATTCTCTTATTGTTCTTTCTATGCAATCCTGCCAATAGTCTTACTCTTCTTCTCTACTAAGGTAGATGCCATTGCATAATTTCTGAAAATGATTTGCCTGTCGTAGAACTAAATACGAATACTCAAGGTGACGAAGCGACTATCCGTTTCTGACTGTGCTTTCGAATGTAGTCTGGAAGTGTGGTAGTCTTCAATAATGATGCAGAGACAGAGAAGACGTAAGAAAGTATGCTCACACCACTTGATTTGGCATCCAACATCTTCCCGTTTTCCTATCTCTGCCATTCCTACTGACTACCACACTTCCTAATAGTTCTAATCTGAGCACAATCAGACATGGGAAGCCGTGTCACGCTCTTGACTCTTCGTGTTTAGGCTTGCGACGAGCAACTTATACGAATTATGCAACGGTACAGTACAAAGTACAATATAACACTACAATTCTTGATCTCACCATTGTTGAAAGAACTACTTCGAAATTACAGCAGGGACCTAATTATGGCATACTTATGGCGAAAGAGTAAGGGCATAACTGTAGATAGAGAAGTACACATGCATAGACAGAAGTAAATGGGTAGTTGATAACTACGTGATAAGCAGGTAGATAGATGTGCAAATAATTTTGTAGCAACTGGTATATGAAGTGGATTATCCTGAACTCATTAAATTATAGCAAGCAACATTCTGGCTACCTGTCTAAGAAGAGGAATGTCTTCTTGAACGACTTTCGAAGGGTAATTGGTTGTTAATTACATTATACATGGAGAAAATCGCAAAACCTCTCGTTCAGCAGCTCCATTTTCCGTGATTTGATCTAGCTCGAATCATCAGCATTGGATCTAGTTCGAATTTCATCGGTCGCTAATGGAAGCCATACATGAATTTAAATACATGGAAGGAAACAGAATATTACATAATTTACCTTTATAGATGCAGAATTTACATTTACATAGGCATAGACAGATGCATAAGCAGTCATCCATAAATATGTACATATACCGGATGCCCAGAATTAAAGAATCCTATTTCAAAGCTACGGCAGAATTAATGAAGTGTGAGGATGCCTTTCAACGAAAAAAAAAACAATTGTTACAAATATTGCTACCAGAGGGCATGGTATTAATAAATTGCACATTTATCCATATCTTTAAAATAGTTTTACAATTTTACAAATTTTATTACAACAAAATATGTTCCACATGATGAGCATCATTTTCAGCTGTCATCTGAAGTCACAAGATGGCATATTCCACAATTGATCGAAGTGTGTGGTGAGAAATTTTGAGCACGTGGCGTGAAATGCTGGCTTTAAGATCAGGTAAAGTTCTTGGCTTTTCACGAGTTACCAGATGTTTCAAATACCCCCAAAGCCAACA